ATTCTGTGATTCTGTGAAAAAGCGGTGTCGTACACGGCCCCATCCGTAGTGTGGCCCTCTCGAGCTTTTTTTGTTCTGTTTTTTGGGTTTTTTTGCAATTAGGCAGCACCTCCTATCATGTTCAGAGCATGCCTAGCTCCTGCTCATTCCATATGGCGCAGAGCATTTCACAAGTGGGTTAAACCTGCCCCCACCTTAATTACAGTAATTAGCTTAGTTTCAGGTCCATGTATTTTTCCACATCGGTAGGCAGACTTTTCCTCCATCATACATTGTGCAGCTTTTCTTTGCAGCTGATCTGTAAAGATCCCTCAAGCTTTTTTACTCCTTCTGTCAGAACTGTGACAAAATGCCTCTTTTTAGTAAAAGTCTGGAATATATAGAGTGCTTGGTTCCACTCCTTACGACTGCTTCTCCTCTGTGTCGTGATATGGTCAGAACGATACAGGTGGACAAATATATTTGGCTGTAAGTTATTCCCTGGAATTCTTAAAGCTCGTGGGGGCTTAGGTCAAAGAGCCATTTCACAGCTTGGAAGCAACAGACCTGCCATACGTTCTTCTCGACGTGATCAGCACAAATATTCTCATCGCTCAGATCTAACATAAGTTTTGTGCTTGGCCTTTTGCCGTGAGCGTTCAAACGCAGGAATCTCGCTGACCCGATGCATTTCTGCGTGGCGCTTGCATTTCCACCAGACGTACAGAGACTTCTTACGGCAGCGACTGAGCTTCAGAGCTGACTCTGTGTGGGAGGGATGGCATGAAGTACAGGCTGAGGCAAGTTTCAGGTTTTGCAGCTGATGTTCCAGCTCCTACTGAGAGCAGAGAAAAATCTGAGTCTCCTGCAGTTTGTCAGCCAGAATGGGATGCTGACTTGTATCTATAGTGTGACATCTTTGGGGTTTTGTAGCTTTTCTTCTGGAAAGGAAAATCAAATAGACACAAGGGAAGATAGAAGCATCTTTGAGGCAATCTTCCAAGGAGTACCATCTACCAAAACAATGGAAAACAAAAGCAGAAGGGGCATGTTGTTGCATTAGTCTTTTGAGGTTTCTCATATCTGCCTTACAGTCCGGTATCGTCTCTCTGATCGGTTCTTGATGACAGGTGAGAAATGTTGGGGTCCACTGCTATTTATTTTTTCCGTATGCCTGTCTGGTACTCCAGATCTTCCGTCCTGATCCAACCAGGAAAGTTTGTTTGCTGATGTGTTACATTTAGTTGCAAGTGGAAATTCAGTTTGGATTGTTCAGTTTTGCTTTTTTAATTCGTTTGCAGCTGTTTTTTCTGTAGCGCCCACAAGCAGCCTGGCTGGCTCTGTTCTTTATTCCTACCGTGTAAAATATCTGGCAGAACACAAGGAATTAATTATGGGGATATATAGTGAGGGAATAATAGCTGCTGCATATGTTCCATATTGTTAAAATAGACTTTCCATTAGAAACATCTGCCATTAGAGAGAGAAGTTGTGTCAAGCCTCTTTGCCCCAGCTGAGAGACTTACCTCTTACCTGTTTGGTTTGTTTGGTTTTTTTTTTTTTTTTTTTTTTTTTTAAATTAATTTTTTTGTAAAC